TTGCAGCATTTATTTTACTTGGATGGATCTAGCTACCAAAGATGTTTTGATGATCATCAAAAAAGATTTTTTTTTTCTTTTTGATTTAGGTTAAACTTCAGATTTAGTTTCTAATTAACCTTTACCACAAATACGAGGTATTATCCAAACTTTTTATTTGGACCAAAAATAGTCCCTAATCCTTTTACAATTACCAATTCCAATCCTATCATTAGTCATTTTCATTAATTTCCTAAAGAAAATCCTAACTATAGTTTTAAACCCTTAAACATAAGAAGGAAAAAAAAAAAAAAAAACCTACTAAACCATTCTTTTTTTCAAGACTAAACATATATATATATTAAAGTGCTAAACTCTATTTTTTAAAAACATAAAATACCATCAAAATATGCACATCTATCATAAAATCTAACTCAAAATCACCAAATTGAGTTTTTTTTTTGAACAAAAACAATAACCACATTGAGTTCACTTATAAGTAAATCAAAGTGTTTAAAATCAAAATTTAGCAAAAATAAATTTAAGGCAATAAAAATTTTAAAAAAAATTTATGTAAAAATTTATGTGGGTTTCTCCAAATTTCAATTAGGATTTCCATTATAAACTTAACAGAAGTAACTAATAGTAAGATTAGCTTCTACATTAATTTTGAAAAGGTTGGGAACACTTTTTTATTTGAATCAAAAGTTAAAATAATATATAATATTTATAAGGAAAATGATTTTGAAATAATTTTTTTATATTATTTTTTTATAACCTTACATGTTATTTAAATAATTAGTTTTATTTATTTATTTATATGAGACATATTGAATGCATCCACTTATTTAATAACACGTAGAAGTTATATAAAAAAGTAGTACAAAAAAATTGTTAAATAAATGTTGAGGCCTGTTTAATTTATTTTAATTATTATATTCTTTTATTAGCATTGAATTTTCTATAAAATCTTGATTCTCTAGATTTGCTTTCCTAATAAAAAGGCTCTGTCGATCTATATATACCAGGATCATCTTTAACAAGTGTCATAGTAGCAGAAGAAGCCGCACAAATTCCGTATTAAAGTTAGTTTTCTCCTATTCCCTTTCCATTAATTTGTTTCAATTTACAGAAATTACGATGTTTTTCCGATGAATTTATAATGTCTTTTTTTATTATTCATTGGATCGAAGCTCATTTTTTTTTTTTCATAACGAGAAGTAATTATTATTACAAAAATTACGATGTTTTTCTGATGAATTCAGGATGTGTTCCGATTTTATTATTTATTGGATCGAAGGTCATTTTTTTTTTTTTCATAATGAGAAGTAATAATTATCTAAACAATTCCTATAAGTTCCTCCTATTTTGATGGCGGAAAGATTTTTCTTTAAAGAAGATTAATTACCCATTAGGGACGCTGTGCAAAAATCTTAGGTTCGGGAGAATTTAACAAAAAAACTACTTATATTGTATAATTTATCATTAAATGTAAAAAAAAAATAGCCACCAATAACTACACCATATAGACCTTAACTCTTGTTTGTGACCTTAACTCTTGTTTGTGACCCGCGACCAAACCCCACTTGGAACTAGGAATTTGGATTTTTTAACCAAAATTTGTCCAAGTTACGTACAAATTAACATCATTGAAATGGTTGGGTTCTTCTTCAGGACACACGTGATACTTTCTCTAGGACAAAGTTGCCCAGATGAGTTGTCCTAAAAGACTCAACAATGCCCTCATCCTCTGGATGACACAGAGCAAGCTACCTGTGACCAGATGACTAGTATTAGCCAGGACTTTTAACACTTCAGTAATTAAAGAAATAAGAAAATTTTGTCAAAATTAAATACTCCTAACAACTATGTGACGGGGAAAGCAAGAAAATTTACGTTTATGAAGACTTATATAAACCCTCATTGGCTTTTATTACAACTGCAAGTTTTCAAAACCTATTAAGGACCAATAAGTAACGAACATTGTT